TTTAAAAAAAAAAATCTGTATGAAAGGCCGCAGGTTCCTGAGCAGGAAGGGGAGGGAGGAGGTTTGGGGGAATCTTCAGCTGGAGTTGGTTCTTCTGCTCCAAAARGAAGAGTCGAGGGGAGGTTTGGGGGTGTTTGAGTTTCCTCCCCGGGGTGGGTATTTGGGGAGTGATGGGCAAAGCCGAGAACGGGGAAATTTTAGAGCAAAGAACTGTGGGGGTGTCCCAACCAAAACCCCAAAGGGATTCGGGAATTCTGGATTTGGGGTTTGGGGAGCGAAGCGGGGTGGGGGGGAGTCCTTAGGAAGGTGAAGCCAAAACTCACAACCACACCAAGCAGTKCCCTTCCCTCCCCCGCCCCTAAAATCCTCTTTTTTGGGTTCATTTCGACCCCAAAATCGCAGAGGGGAGGGCGGGAACCGAGCGCCAGCCCGAGCTGCTTCATTCACTTCTCACCTTTTTTTTCTAAAACGTTGAACCAAATTTCAGGTAACCCCCGAGGTGTTCCCTAGAGGCCACACCCGAGTTCGAATTATTTTTTTCCTGCTGCAAAAAAAGAAAAACCCGAAATAAAATTTAAAAAATAAAAAAACAACAATTTTTTTTTAAAAAAACCAACCTGTTCAAGGCGTAAAAGCTCAGTAGCGACGATTAGTGTATTAGAAATTGCATGGTGGYTCATACCGGTCCTAATTAATCACCCAACGTGATTAACGATTCCTATTAAGCCAAAAGAAAACGAAATAAACGTTACCCTTTTCACCGTACAAGGGAAGGTTGTGTCGGTGTCCCAGTTATTTCCCTGGTGCTTCCTCCTCCTCCTCCTCTCCCCGAGCCTGTTCAGGGTGGTTTTATGGCTCAGGAGGAGCTGCTGGAAGGGTTTTGGTGTTGGCGGTGTCAGGGGGGCTCTGTGGGGTCGGGTTTTGTGGGGTCAGTGCCTGCTCAGGGTTCTGTGGGGTTGGGCTCTATGGGGTCAGGTTTTGTGGGGTCGGTCCCTGCTCAGGGCTCCAGTTTTGGGGCAGGAGGGGCTGCTCCGTGTAGGATCTGCCCCAGCAGGGAAGGACCTTGGGCTGTGCTGGCTCATCCTGGAATCCTTCACCCCATAACCCTCATCCTATAACCTTCATCCTGTAATTCTTCATCCTGTAACCCTCATCCTATAATCGCTCATTCTATAACCCGTCACTCCCTAACCCCTCATCCTGTAACCCCTCACCACACAACCCTTGACCCCATAACGCTTCACTCCATAACCTCTCACCCCATAATCCTCACTCCATAACCCCTCACTCCATAACCCCTCACCCCATAACCCTTTACCCCATAGCCCTTCACCCCATAACCCTTTACCCCATAACCCTTCACCCCATAACCCTTTACCCCATAGCCCCTCACCCCATAACCCTTTACCCCATAACCCTTTACCCCATAACCCCTCACCCCATAACCC